AATATTGTGTTTGTACTTTTTTTTTTTTTACTGCAATCAATCCAGGTTCCAAAGAGGTACACTCTTGGCAAAAAAAAAATTTTCCACCTTCCAGTTGAAGTGAAGAAATCCTAGTTATGAATGTGCTTCTGGTATTACATGTGCTTCAGTGTGAAAATTAACACTTGAAGTTGCTGTTTCATTGCGTTGTATCATTAGGAATTTTTATTTGTATGCTTTGAACTCAAAAAGCTGGAGGCTACAGTGCGCATAAAACTGTGAAAATTTTATGTCATTTATAGTTTTAAAGTGTTTTTAACTGCAGACTGTAAAACGGTCTATATTGTTATTTTAAAGTTTTACTGGCAGTGTCATTTATTGTTTTATTAGCTCACTATAAGCGTTAAAGTTCCACAACTAAAACAGATATCAGATGCACATGTTTGAAAGACTGCTGTATGGCAAAAAATTACATTTGTCAACTGTTAAGAGCTTAAACTACAAYTAGATAATTTCACTAAATGTAGTTGGTTGAGAGATTCTGAAAACCAAAACGATACAAGCAACTACCACTGTAGCATTCTGAGAAAAACTAGCATTTAAAAACTTTATTTAAACATATTTCCAAGTGGAGATTTGTGAAAAGGMTATGAACACTTAAAATCGCACCTGTTGTAGGTAGCTCCTTGAATGATGTGTTTGAAGAAAWTAAATTAAATTCTGACTAGACTAACAAGCTAATGGCTAGTCCAAACAAACAAGCAAAGCAAAAATCTAAGTGGAGTTTTTAGCTCATCAATCTGGTCAATATTAAATATTATTTCTCCAAACCAAGGTTGTTCAAACAACTATCTACAACAGGTAACATACTATTTGTTCATAACCTTTTCCACTCCAAAAAAATCTGTTACCTCTTCAGTGTGAAATACATAGCATCACTAAGAACCGTTTAGTATAATTATACTTGTGCAAAATTTGTTAATAAGAACCAACTTTCTTCTAAGCAAAACTGCTGTTATTGGTCATAAAGCTTCTGTAACACATTMAGGTGAGCAAAAGTCCAGTCAAAGAAGTGAGTTGATGTCTAGAAAARTGTGCAATTTTTCATATTCAGCATTGTTTATCATAGAAAGCAAAAAAGTAAAAAATAATAATAATAATCAAAACTACTGATCAAAAACAGAGCCAAGCTGGCATAATAATATGAATAAATTACCACCACAGAGCATTCAAACAATTACAAGTTAATTATACAAAAAAAAAAAAAAAACATGTTCTGGTATTCAGCCACAAGAAAAACACAACTACACTGATATATATTAGAAAATTAAATCGAAGAAAAAATTTCTTTACAAATCGAAACTCATTAAATTTAGTTTGTCAATGTGGWAGTGTTAAAGCAGCAACAAATACGAAATCTTGGATTTTTACCAGTTTGATTAATTTTCAGTTAATACATTCAAAACGGCTTGGAGAAAAAAAAGTGTTACAAAAAGTGTTTTTGTCACCACTGGAAGACGGTCAGACATTTAGATTATGTTAAGGAATCTTGTACAGGAAAAGCCAACTTTAGGGTGCATTTTTCAAACTGTGGTCAGCYGTGACCTCGGGTGATTGTGTAACACGGTAAGTCTAGTCTAATCGATTCCTTGATTCATTCCGGTAGATTCAATTTACTGTAGTGAAGCAGGGACATTTAGGTTTTTTTTTTTTTGGCCTTTAAATAGCTGAGATCATCTTACAGCAAAGCTTCATAATTGCTTGTTTAGATGYAGGTTTCTCGCAGCTTATGGCGTGTTTTTGCATTTAGAGAGAAAAGCTGCTACTGTCAAATGTTTAAGCAGAGATCCATCAGTAAGCTGTTGGAAGTGCTACCAGAATGTTAGCATGGGCTGGACCTGTAGCTGAGATAAAACATTARGAGTTGGGGGTCGGTGAAGTTGGTGGAGTCCTGTGCTCTGGAAGTCCGGGTACCTTAATGTTGGGCGTTTTGCTTTCTTCCGCCCACATCCCATCTTTCTCTTTTTTCCCGTGTACCTTCTCCTTATTCTGCCGGCACAGTTTCAGCGCTCGGGATATAAACACATCCAGATCAAACAAGCGCTCTTTTTGCTTTCCTGGCAAAGACTCCGTGGAGTCTGTGTTGACTGAGGAGGAGGTAGAGGAAAGGGGTTGAGATTCTTGGAATCCCACGAGTGGCGTGGATGGGGGTGACGCTGTTTGAGGAGAAAAAGGAGCTGTGGGAGATGAAGGGAACAAGGAGGGAAGGGTGTGAGTGGAAGATGTGYAAGGAGGAAGGGAGCTCAGTCTGCCCTGTTCGTATTCAGCCGACGGCTGCCGCAAAACTTCCTTGAGGTGAAAGACCAGAGTRGGGTGGTCAGTGGGCGAGAGTGGGAGAGGGGGTGAGGAGGTGTAGCAGGAGGGTGAGGATTGCTCCACTGAAGGGCTGGGACTGGCCAAGTGCAGACCAGACTGAGTGGTCTCCACCCAGCGAGAGATTTCCTGGAACAAATCCCCCGTTTCCTCCTTTTCTTCCTCTTCTGCGCCCTCCTCCTTCATCTCCCCCAGGTCCTCCACGCTGCCACCGATGGGCTCTACACGCACAGGGAGGCTGCTACTGTTTTGCTTCCAGTGAGACAGATCCAAAATCAGCTTGGGCTCGGAGTAGTGTTGAGGCTTTCCTTCCCTCCAGGCGATTTTATCCAGATATGAAGGAGAGCCAACTTTGTAATCGCAGGAGKGGCCACAGTCGAGCTCCCCGTACYCCAAACCACACACCCGTTCCAGAGAGGAGTGGGAGTTCTCCAGGAAGCGCTCAGCTGAGCTGCTGTGGGAATATTTCCGGGGGTCAACCTGTTTAAGACAAAAGGTAAAGAAAATTTAGCTTGATGCTAAACTAAATAACTGCATGTCATTTGTTTGATTGCTTTGATTCAGCCAAGTTTGTTTCTAAAGCACTTTGCTCTACAACTTTTATTACAAAGTGTTTAATTGTGTGAAGGCCTGWATGGCATTCACACAATTGAGATCATTTTTTTCTTCCGTACATTTTTCGGCACCTTTCTCGTTCCACAATTTTTGTGCTACTTCAACCATTCATATATCAATACATTCAGCTCTTTCGTGCAATGCCGGCTATGACTTTTGGTATTTCAGCTACAGTATTTTTTACTTTTTTTAGCTGTTTTAACTTTTTAGCCACTTTTTTCCCCATTGACTTTGAATGGGGCAATTTTCAACAACCTTAAAATCCTTCAAAT